TTCGATTAAGCTCGTTTAGGCTCGCGAGCCCAGTAATTGAAGCTCAGCTCAAGCTCGTTTAATAAACGAGTCTCATATTTAGGCTCGAGCTCGGCTCAAGCTCGTTTAATTCGATCTTGAGTCGACCCCGAGTAGTTCACGAGTAGCTCGACTCACATGGTTATAGGGCTGATACATGAGCCACCTTTACCCGGTGAGAAGCGCGTTATATAGAAACTACCTGGCATGTTAGAGTTCAAGTAATGAACTATGAAATTATAAATAATGACAATTGTCGACAGGAAATAATTTAGAAGGTCGACAGAAAATATGTCATACCAAATAGCATAGGTCCATGTCTTATATGAATACATTAACTCGTGTTGAATGCATCAATTGTTTATTTATCTTCTGGCCAGGCCCACCTTAACCTAATCATGTTGATCGTGATCGAAGGCGTTTTATGCATATCCACATGATAAATTTATGTTATATAATGACGCTAACTCATCTAGGGATTGAAATTTGAAACATCAAAGTGAGTCGCTTGAGAGGTCTTCTCTTCCCATCTTGACTGTGCTTGAACAGACCCAGGTTTCTCCACCTCCATCCGTCAAACATGAGACGTCGCTTCCCTTGTCATTTTTCGACCTGCCATGGCTGAATGTTCATCCCATTCACCATCTTTTCTTCTATGAGTTACCACAGCTCTCTAAAACTCAATTTATTGAAACAATGGTTCCCACTCTAAAAAACTCGTTATCTAAAACACTTCTCCATTTTTCTCCTTTGCTGGTAAATTGATCATAGATCCTACAGGCACTAGAAAACCACAAATTCGTTACATAGAAGGTGACGCTGTCTCAGTCACGATTGCAGAGAGTAATCTTGATTTCACCGATCTAGTGGGAAATCATCCTAGAGCCTGTGATAAGTTTTATCCTCTTATACCTCTCCTTGGAAAAGCTGAAAAAGCATCTGATTATGTTACAGTCCCGTTATTCTTCATTCAAGTGACGTTTTTTCCTAATAGTGGTTTCTCTATTGGAATAACAAATCACCATGGCCTTGGAGATGCAAGCACTCGGTTTTGTTTTCTGGAGGCATGGACTTCAATTGCAAGATCTGGTTCAGATGAGTTATTTCTAGCTAATGGAACTTTGCCATTCTATGATAGAGTAATTAATCACCCAGCCTTGGATGAAATATATCTAAAGAGAGCAAAACTCGACACTTTCGATGAAAAGTATCAGCCCCGACGCCTTTCTGGACAGAGTAATAATGTCCGGGCCACGTTGATGCTGACCAGACCCATCATCAATCAAATGAAGAAATGGGTATCAACCCAACTGCCCACGTTACAATATGTATCATCTTTTACAGTAGCATGTGCTTATTTTTGGAGTTGCTTTGCAAAATTACGCAGTGATGAGCTACAAGTTTTTGGCTTTGCCGTAGATTGTAGGGCACGTCTGGTTCCACCGATTCCAGCTACTTACTTCGGTAACTGTATAGCACCATGTGGGGCGATGGCAAAAACAAATATATTAACTGAAAAACAAGGGTTTTTGACTGCTGCTAAATTACTGGGAGAGTGTTTGCATAAGATGTTGAATGATAAAGATGGAGTCATGAAAGATGCCAAGACTTGGTTCGACTTATCTTTCGAAGGGATGCCAAAATTCATATTTATTAGTGGAACACCAAGGCAAAAATTTTATGACACCGATTTTGGATGGGGAAAGCCCAAAAAGTATGAAACAATTTCGATTGATTATAATATGTCGATTTCTTTGAACGCTAGCAAAGACTCCAATGAAGATATGGAAATTGGCCTGAGACTTTCGCCTAATGAGATGGAGGCGTTTATTCCTATATTTAATAGGGCACTAGGTGTAAGACTCGTGTATTACACGGGTTTATAAAAGAGAAAAGTTTAATATAAAATTATAAGTATTATATATTCTTTAAACTAATAGTTTTAAATAAATACAAAGGATATAATAAATAAAATAAGTAACTTAATATATAATATAGAAGATTTGAAAGGTTGTAGAGCATTTATTATGAAATTTAATAGAATAATCTACCTTACATATATAAATCTCACCAAAATGTGGATTTTGAATTTAAGAAAATAAAAAATACAAGAAAATGACAAGTGGAAAAAAATTAATACAAAAACTATTAAAAAATGACATGTGTCAAATTCAATATAAACATGACATTTGGCAAAATTGATTTTCATCTATTAGGGTAGATTAGAAAATTACATTTAGTATCATCAATTAGTTTTCTTTCCACTTTTCCTTCTTAATTTTTCTTTTTATTGATTAAAATGAGGTAATGGTTAGTGTATTTATTTGTATTTGTATCATTATAAGGCTATCCCCAATGGGGTTCTATGAACCCTCATATTAGCTTCCAACATTTAGTATCAAACATCCTAAGTCAACTTCACTCGAAACCTCCAATAAACCAACTTTCAATAATAATAATAATAATAATAATAATAATAATAATAATAATAACAACAAATATTACAAAATTTGAATAAAATCACAATAACCAAAACCGACACAATCCAATCAAGCCTCATATTAGCTTCCAACAGAAGTGGTTCCATCGTCTTTATTACTATCAAAAACTCTACAAATGTCATTAACAAATTGAGTGTCTTCCCTTGGTCTACCTAGTCTGTCATTGGATGCCTGTACAAGGTTTATAATAATAACTCAAACAATAAAATCAAATTTAAATACAAAATACAAAATTAAAAGACAACATAAATATGCTGTGATTTTCTAAAATAGGAAAAATAATTTCTTTTTTAATTTTAAGAATGTATCATAAAGTATCAGGAAATTATTAAAACTACCGACCTATACAGTTAATTTTCTTTTAAGAAAGAGCTTTGAGGGCACAGGTGTCTTGGTCTTGTTACATCTGTTGAGTACTGGAAATATTGAAACTGATGTTGACATTCGTGAAGGCTATGCTTGAAGACTTTTCATAAAGAATCTTATGCTTAGTGGTTTTTTAGTTTATTTGACATGTTTTATTTAATCCACTATAAATAGTCTTTAGTTTAGCTTGTTAGGTAAGCTTCCCACAAAGAATCCCTTTCTCAGTTAGGTTGAGAAAACCAAAGTCTTTTTGTATGTTCTGTTTCTTAATAAAAAAGACACAAAAGCTTTGACATTACTTGCAAATTTTGTGTGATTGATTCATGATTCTTATTCTAATTAATTCTGCACTCGTCATTTCGTTTTGGACTTAACAATTGGTATCAAAGCCAAATCATGTAGATCTCAGCGATTATTGCAAGAAATGATCAAAAATGACGAATTTTTCATGAATCTCACTCTGTTCTTTAAGTTTTGTAAGTTTTCTGATGAGGAAGTGAAATTTCTTTCGTATCTGCGAAATTCAATCTAGATTTGAAGTTTTTGATCAAATATGTTGTTCTCTACACATTATTTCATTTGATTCATTATTGATTCGTGTTTGAGAAGTAAAGTATAAGAAGATTCTTGAGTTTTATTCTCAGATTTGTCTTCAGATTCATTTTCTCTCTCTAGAAGTCATCTCAAATTCATTTTCTCTCTCTAGAATCTTATTAGATCTATTCTCTCTCTCTATCTCTCTCTCTCTCTCTCTCTCTCTCTCTCTCTCTTCGAATTTTGATTCTTGTTGAAGATTTAATGGCAGATTAGAGGATATTAAATCTCATTAAAAAACTAGGATTAAAGGTTACAGATAGAAAGTTTCGTCTTAAAGAATGATATATGTTATGCGATGTTCCTAGTCAATCTATGTTGAAGAATGTCATTGAGATGTATAATCTCTATGTTGTTGAGAAGATTGGTGATTTCACACGGATTTCTTGTGGTTGACTGGAAAATTATCGTTTAGATGAAGATAAAGATTTGCTAAAGCAATTTTCCATTATCAAAGAATATCTACTTCTGAAGAAAATACAACAAAACTTAGAGAAAGAAAGAAAAGAAAAAAAAAGATGTTCTTGGTGTTCTTGATAAAATTCATGAAGTTCTTCCAGTTTTTGAGAAAAATGTGACTGCAGATGTTCTTGTTGAGGGGGGAGTCAAGTGTTTCAAGTTTTTCAGAAGTTTTACACTCCGAATCTAGTAGTTCTGAAGACAAATCTCAAAGCAAATCTTCCAAAATAGTGAAAGTAAAGGTGTTTTGTTCTATTGGAACTCAAACTGATGACTCTACATGTTCTATTGGAACTCAAACCAATGATTCTTCATGCTCTTGTAATTATTTCCAAGGAATGGTGCTTTACAGAAAGACAATTATTCAAGATGTTCAAATGTAAGAAACTCAAAAAGTTTGTATATCAAAGGCTTATAATGCTCAGATTCTAAAATGTGACGAGGTAGTTCATATCCGAAAATCAGTTCTGAAGTTTCAGAATTTGAAAAAGAAGAAGAAGAGAAAAGTGAAAAAGCTTTGGGTACCAAAAGTGAAAATTTCTCATGTTCAAGAAAAAGTTAAGAAAGTTGAAACCAAACATGTTGAAAGAAATTTCATTTCACAAATTAATTCTCAAAAGTTTGTCAAAAGTTGGAGAAAAGAGAAAAAAGTTTATGGTTGGTTCAATAAGATATTTGGTAATTTCTGTTTCCAACTAAGAAGTTGATATTGTCATTTTCTCAATATTCAAAGATGATTTGTACTTAGATCAGTGTTTTTCTCCAAAGCAATTTTAAATCTCAAATGGATTCCAAAAATTTCAAATTAAAAGTGAAATTAATTTGAGGGGGAGCTTTTTAGAAAGTGTAAAAGCTATCAAAAGGGAAAAAGCAAGGCTGCAATCTAACATTTTACTGCCACAAGAAGGAAGCAATTAGTCAACGGTTCTAAAAGAAAAGTCAAAATCGGACTTTGATGTCACTGAATTTATTTTCGTAAGATACTGAATTCTTTAAATGGTCAAGCAGAAAAAGTAAAAATTGGAACGAAAGGACTCATTTGTGAATATAATTAGAAGCGAATGCAGTATCGAAATGAAAGTGACGATGGATATCAAAGTTTATCGAAATTGGATCAATTGTTCAGAACAAAAGATGAATCTGAACGAGATGAGAGAATTTTTGAAATTGTGATGGCTTGTTTCGGAATTTGATTTCGAAGGTTTGTAATCGGATTTTGATGTCACGTGATCGGAACGAAAGCTTCAGTCAATACTGAAAAATGAAATCGAATAGAAATCGCATTTATGTTCGGAACTCAATTTGTTACTGTAAGAGTTCTGAAGTCGGAAGTATTTGGTGATTTCGGAATTTGATTTTGGAATTAGCTTATTTGAATATATCGGAAATGATTCTCGCTCACAGAATCTGAAATCGGAGAACTCATAATCGGAACAGAACTCAATCAGAATTATTGCAATTGGAATCCATTGTGCTACTGTTCATCTTCTGATGGATTCAGAGCATCAGAATCTTATTTGGAGATCGGAACTAGATGTGCAACAATTGGTTTCGTTTACGATCTTGGATTTCTGAATTGCAATTTTCTGGATCGGAATTTATGGTGTGAAATTGGTTTCGTATCCGAAAATGGCCTTCAACACCACAACAGTTCCGATTTTTGTCAAAGTCAACATTCCGATTAAATGGAAAAGAAGACGACAATTTTACAATTCATACCCCTATACTTTGAGCAACTTAGCAGATTCAACCCAGATTCAAATATCTTTACAATTAAACGGTTTTATCCATTTTTACCCTTTTCTACCAAATTATTTCCGTTTCTTATCTTTTTCTTGGTCTATTTCTTTCTAAACCCTTCTTATCTTTGTTCCTTATCTTTTTCATTTCGTCTAAACTTCAAAAACAGAAAAACACAAAAAGATTTTTGTTCTTTTTCGTTTTTAGTTTCAAAAAAACCCGAAAAATACAAAAAGATTGTATTTTGTTGTTTGGCTGCGAAACGACATTACTCTTATGTGAACGGCTCCGAGATTCGCAATTTGTCTCGTCAAACTCACATTGGTTTATGAAATATTGCGTTCTTCAGAGGAATTCAGAATTTTAGTGTTCTTACCCGTCGGTTAATCTCATTATCCAGTGGTTTCTTCCATGTTTTGTTGATTATTCACTGGTTCTTTGAAGATTATGATGATATTGCAACAACATGGGTACAAAAATGCAACATTTCAGAGTCAAATACTACCTCCGTCCCAAATTGATAGTCTACCTTAACTTTTGAAGTCTTTTTCTTTAATTTTGACCTTTAATATTTTTGTTTTTGATAGATAATACTTGATGCAAAATATATGAATGGATTGTATTTTAAATGTTTTTTCATTGTTATAAGTTTTATCAAGTAATATATAACACAAATAAAAATATTTAAGGTCAAATTTGAAGAAAAAAGACTTCAAAAGTCAAAAGTGGACTATCAATTTGGGACGGAGGGAGTATAATTTGTAAGGATTTTTAAAGATTATTTCTTCAATTGTATTGGGTTTTGAAGATCCATGTTAGCCTTGGGAAAACTTTCATGTTCAACTTTCTTTTTTGTATAGAGTAGGTTGTTGGTGATTCTTCTTAACTTTCCAGATTCTCTCCATAGCATTTGTTGAAGATTCAAGGGGGAGTGATGATTGTTCAAGGGGGAGTTTGCATTTTCAGATCTATGTTCTTTGAAGATGATATTTTTCAGATCTGATAACTCTTTGAAGATCCCAAATTCTTATAACTCTCACAATTTAGGGGGAGAAATGCCAAGAAGATGTAAATCGTGATCTTCATCAGTTTCAACATTTAGGGGGAGATTGTTGAGTATTGAAAATATTAAAACTGATGTTGGCATTTATGAAGGCATTCGTGAAGGCTATGCTTGAATACTTTTCATGAAGAATCTTATGATTAGTAGTTTCTTAGTTTATTTG